CCTGATTGCATGGGACAGTTTCTTAGTGAAAGTATCAAATACGATTACTCAACACGAGTGAGTTAACCCGACAAATCCACAAATCCGGCATGACGAAATGTCTTGGGACATTGTGGAGGAGTGAAGGCCAGCTCTGTTACCAGTTTTGACAGCTTTGGAACACTTGTGGCAGAGATCACCACACAAAGTGCCTTGGAAAACAGTCACAGAACATGCCGCTCAGCTTGGCAGCAAGTTATGTAAGACAAAGTATGAACATGATTTAAGGGAAATTTCACAAATGTTGGCCATTCTGCTCCAGTAACCCACACTACCAGATGTGTGTCAGATAATGTGGTTATACTGTGGAGTTGTACTTCAAACTATTGCAGTGATGTTGTGGCTTGACAAATTGTTTGTATGACTTGTACATGTGGAGTCTTTCATCATCATCATCATCATCATCATCATCATCATCATCATCATCAGACCGCCTGCGTGGTGTAGTGGTTAGAGCGTCCACTCGGAGAGCAGAAGGTCGCGGGTTCGTTCCCTGACCACGTCATACCAAAAGACCTTAATATATGGTACTTGTTGGTCCCTGCCTGGTGCATCATCATCATCACTGGCAGCATAAACCCATCATCATCATCATCATCATCATCATCACATTCAGCATAAACCACATCATCATCATCAACAACAACAACATTTACATGAATGCAAAAAGATCTGACTTGGACTGAAAACCAAAGTTGAATTTTTCCCCATATATTTATACTGTTTTGTTTATATCTGAAAACAGCATCTTTGGTTCCAGTAACAGGAAAACTCTTAGTTCAGCCTTAAGGACACATTCTAGTTACATATGTTCATTTTGAGCTGTTATAAAAACAAAACATGCAATCATTGACTGATGGTTTCACTGTGTTTTGAGTTACCCCTGTGCAACACCATGGCATGAATATGAAAATATGGAATGGTCCTTAACTAATTTGAGTAGTATATGTTATTACTGTTTTATTGTAGTAATATATATGTTACACATGTTGTGATCAGCTGTTTTGGGGTTTGTTGTTTAATGCCACACTTAGCAATCATATAGCTGGAATATTGCAATCTCTAAATAATCGAGTCTGGACCAGACAATCCAGTGATATAAATCATCAGCCTTGTTCTTTATGCAACTGGGTTATGATGACCAAGTCAGCAGGTCTGCCCACCTGCTCCAGTCGCCTCTTAAGCATGGGTTGCTGAAGACCAATTCTAACCTGAATATTCACAGGTGTGTCAGTAGTCTGTCTCACAATCCTTGAACCACATTATTTTCCAACCCTGCAATGCAAAAGCCCTAAATGAAGCAAGTCTAGATTTCCTTCTGAATCTCCCATCTCACTAGGGCTCCTTTTCAATTTAAATGGCTTTATTTGTTATTCTACCATGACTTCAGTAAATACTGGATTGTGATTGGTTAATCAAAGTCATTCATAGCTCTAAATTTGAACACCTACGTGTTCGGTTTTAAATCATATTCAGAGCTATTATAATTTTGTTATATACCTCTGATTTTCTAAAACAGTACGTTTATCTCCATTCTAACATTACCGTGTTATTCAGATTTAAAAAAAATACATACTGTGTTTGAAATTCAGGGGTATGTAACGTGATTATATACCTCTGAATGACTTTGATTAACCAATCACAATCCAGTATTTACTGAAATCATGGTACGTGCTACGCGTTTGGTTTTAAATCAAATTTAGAGCTATTATAATTTCGTTATATACCTCTGATTTTCAAACACAGTATGTTTACCTCCTAACTATCAAATTTATATATATTCCGAGACTAAGCATTAGTCTAGTGTGTCCGCACCACACCTACTCACATTGGTTCCACCAGATTAGTGAAATGATCCGAGGCCTGCATAAGTTGGGCTTTCCTCCAACTAAAATCTGACATGCTATGATATATCTGAACTGCTGTTCAAATGATATTAGGGGCCAACCTGTTGATATTCCTCTGGGGAGTGTGTAAGATTGTCAGTAACAGAATATTTAATTGGTCACTTATGTTGAAAACATAAATCTTTTGCTCTCAAGGAGATGAATCATTTCCTTTTTTTTCAGGACATCCAGAATATCAAACAAAGTTTGGTTTCAGTATTTGTTGTTGTCGTCATCATCATCATCATCATCATCATCATCATCATCATCATTGCCATCAACCATTTTATCACCCTAACCCACCCATTGTCTTGGTTTTCAATTCTTAACAAATATTATTGATTGAAGAATTTAATGTCTCTGGTGAATTCCCTACCCCCTTCCTATATTCCCTACCTTTCCTCCCCTATCCCTCCCCCTCGCAGCCTCCCTATACCATTCTGATAGCACATGTTACACATTGCCCAGTAGGATGAAGCATCAAACCAGTCAAGGTTAGACCAGATACCGTTATATAAATCCTACATACTCAAGCCAGAAGTATGCAGTAATGGTATATGGAATCTCTCAAAACAGGCGCCAATGGTGAACCATTCTTGATCAGGTGCATACCACTAATCAGAACCAGCTTTGGTAATCTCACAAATATCTACCTTTTGCAACAATCATGCAAGAAATATGCTTTACAGCCTTTAGAATCCATTTTTCAAAGCTCTACAGAATTGTCCATATTTCTGGAATCAGGAAGGTTGCAGTACACAGCTAATAAACCATGATCACCTGTTAGCGATTGGTGGAATGACTTCTGATTAGGAGGTGGTTTCTGCTTGGGGAATACGGAATGGTCTAAGTGTGGAATAAATGACCTCATTCACCACCTCGGATGTTCCACCACTGCAGTGGCACCGCAGGCATTCTTGGTATGGCAATAATCAGTGCCTTTCCACCTACTTTCCTCTTATATTTCCACATGATTATCAGAGCAGACCATGCTGTGACACAGTTGTATTTTTCAGTTTTCAGATTTTTGAGTAAATTCTTTTTAAAGATTGTCAGAATATATTGCCTTGTGTAGTCCTAAGATGGTTTTGCCATGCGGCAGGTCAACAATGTATGTTGGATAGGTTTGTTATTTTGGAATTGTTATAACCTCCAAGATGTCAGAACCAGCAGGAGTGAGATTGCAAAGGAAAATGTTTCATTCAACCAGACAATTTTGCAGATTTGAAATTCAGAATATTTTGCAACTTTCGTAGGGTTAACCAGTATATATATATTCTTTTCTTTCCACTTTGCTTTATGGCTTTTGGAAGATTTTGTCAGATCTCACAGTGTCTAGCTGTGCAGGAGTTCACATATGCGAGAGATGGTTTTCAACAGAAAATGATTATATCATTTTGATAAATTTTCCTACATCCATGTTTTCTTTCTGAAGGTAGATAGACCTGGGGCCTGGGCTGAGGTCTCAGGAAAGTAACACTTTTTGTCACAGCTCCGAGTGTGTTTGCTATAACATAGTAACTTTGACAAATGAGTATGAGATGCATGGAAGGAGACAGAAAGGGGTATGATATTGATGGTCATTTAGGGAATTGAACCTGGAAGGTCTGTAGCTACTGCATGCATTCAGCATTAGACATGTACCATACACGGTACATAATTACCACAGTATTTCTGGATTTAGTAGCTGACATTTTTTGCTCTTGACCATTTTCTTAACAGCAATATATGTGTCCCTCCAACTATGAGCTTAAGTATGTATATTAAATGTGAATTATATTACAGTTAATTCTTGAAATAATAACATAATACTTTCAAATTGAATTTTGCCATTTCGACAATGAATGTCTAGAATATTTTCAGTTCTTGAATCTTAAATAGTGTGTGAAGTTGTCAGGAATACAGTGTTTACAACTTGGTATCTACTCCATACTTACGAGGTACATTAAAGAATACCTCGGATTGGAATTTTGTCGCTTTAATATCAGTCTTGATGTAAGCATTTAGAACCTGCATCGGTGCAACCTGAAAATGCAAAATGCAACCTCACATTTATACCAACTTGCAACCATGCATCTTAATATTTTGCGAAGAACACTGACTTCAGTTATTTATGAAATTTTATGAAGAAAAGACTGACTGAGTTTTGGTTTTACACCGCTTTTAGCAATATTCCAGCAACATCACGGTGGGGGACACCAGAAAAGGGCTTCACACATTGTACCCATGTGGGGATTTGAACCCGGGTCTTCGGCGTGACAAGCCAACGCTTTAACCACTAGGCTACCCCACCACCCCTATGAAGAAAAGAATGAGAAAATGATACTTTTTCCCCCTGAATTCTTTTGTTATAATGATGCTCTAAATCATCAATAGCAAAACTCAAATATTATGTAATTTGATAATGAGGAGTATTTGTAACCTGTTTTTGTCTGGTGCAACAAGGTTATTACCTAAGGTTGCACCAGGTGCAAGTAGGCTTCATATCCTTATTGAGCCCTGATTATGCATAGCTTATCTTCTAGAAATCGTCCCATCCAAAAACTGCTTGAAGGATCAAGTCTGACGTGTTCATAAACGGACAGGCGGTGGGGTAGCCTAGTGGTTAAAGTGTTGGCTCGTCACGCCGAAGACCCGGGTTCGAATCCCCACATGGGTACAATGTGTGAAGCCCATTTCTGGTGTCCCCGCCGTGATGTTGCTGGAATATTGCTAAAAGCGGCGTAAAACCAAACTCAGTCAGTCAGTCATAAACGGACAGGGGCAGATAACTGTAATCACCTGCTGCTGACAATGCTCAATATTTTACAATCACTTCAATCAGTTGCTGCCACTGACAATCATTATTTACAATTGCCTCTACTGCCACATAACAAGTGTCATTATTCAGACTCTAATCCCTACACCACTTATTACAGCATGGACCATATCTCCAAGCATTTAGACATCCAGGGACACGCGCCCCATCATTTAAGGCTTTGCAAATCTCTGTGCAGAGTTACATCCCTTGGCCATGCCAGAAACCTATTTTGTGGGATTGTGGGTTTGAATCCTTTTTCCCTGATGTGTTTCCAGGTTTGTCAGCACCAATCCCATGCTTGAGGGTCACCCAAGTGGTAAAAAGGCTGACACCTGCATCACTTCTGGCTTCCTTCCAGAAGGAAGCTGAAATGCCTTAATACAACTGGAATACTGTTCAAAGTTACGTTAAACCCCACCCACTCAAACCCTTTCATGATTATGCCAGTTTGAGTTGTTACTCCCATTTCTCATTTATCTACTGTGAATATCTGACAAAAAGAGGACATAAAATTCAGAACAGATATTAAATTACATTTCCGTTCTTAAAGATAACTTTCCTGTTTTGCATGTGGTTGCAATTCATGTAACCAGCAGTTCTTACAAATTTCTATCGGATTGCTGAAACAATAAATCAAATGCTAATCTTGTACAATTTGATTGAAGAAAGACAGCCTCGATAGGATCCCCTGTACAACACTCTCCTGGTTTGTGTGCATGAGCTTATATATCCTTGCATCAAACCCAGGTGTTGTTGGCAGCAATGGTATTGGTCTCTGTAGCAGAATTCCACTATCAGAATAAAGCAGACCATCTGGAGGATTTCTTCTGTTTTTTGGGTTCCATGTGCATAGTTTTTGTGCAGTGCTTGTAGGAAACTTGTATTTACCATTCAGAAATGTGCAAGAGTTTCTACCAGAAATGTATCACACAACTACGTTTTATCTGACATATGCCACAAGCTGGTAGATTTCATTTGATGTATTTCTTTGTAGAAGGTCATCCCAAATGTAGATTGCTGTTACTCTTGCAGTTTTTTGTGAGTACCTTGCTATAAATATAAGTATATTTGTCACTGCGACCTTCAGGTTGTTTACTGGGTTACCGTGTTCCTGGAAATGTTAGTAGCCGGTTTATGTCAGGACAATGTCTGTTTGAGATAGGCGATTACCTTTTAAGAAACTGGCTTCTTTATATTTTGTGTTTATAGAGATGTGAATGTAGAAACCTGTGTTGAAACTCTATAGATGTTGATTGAAGCAAAGCGTACACATCAGTTTGATGTTTTGAATTCCATAAACGTAATAAACGTATTTAAGTCAATTCTTTTAAGTAAATATGTCAACAATAACTTCACAGCTTGTTTAATGTTTAATACATGACTTACTGTAGACTACAGCACGATACCAGTAACATCATTCAGCCCAATAAGGCAACATAGCCTTCGCCCTGAATCAGCCAATCATGAAACCATGGTGTACATGTTTCATTCTAAGCCTGTTTGTCTGTTGTGAATCATGTGTCAATCCTTAATTGTGCATTATTGACATCTCAGTTCACTTGATGAATGATACTTAAACTTCACATGCTGGTTCCCATCAATTACGATGCCCATGTTGGTTCAAGAGGTTCAAATCAGATTTTTCAATATGGCCGCCACAAATGCCATATTAAAAAGCAATATATTATAAATCATGACCGAAGTTGACATTTGTGTTGTGACTATACTCTTAAATGCTCTCAAAATTAAATAAACTGGGCTCTGTCAAATTTTAAAATAATTTTTTTAGTCACCAGTATTTATGCAGAAAATATATGAACATGAATGCTACAGCAACTTTTGACATTTTAACTGTTACTACACATAGAGGTGAGATACAGTGCGGGAACACTATTTTTCAATTTGCTCAGGATGGGTGGATCCGTAAACCAATTTTTCAAACCAAACAAGTGTCATCTTATTTTGATACTTTGTATGCACCTGGAAAGTGTTATTTCCTAAAATAGTTTAGTTATTTCAAGGCACTGAACAAAGCTGATTCAACATTTGCAATCACATTGCCCACCTGTGTGAGATTACCTGAAGGTGCAGAGTCTACAGGTAGAAACCCCAGGGATCCATCAGCTTCTGTGTCGGGAGGAAGGAAGGGCGTTATGACTTGATATCTCCCCGGATCACCTCCAGAGTTCCACTGCCGGTTTATCAGAGGAAATTGATTATGTCAAGGTTACATGTGGAATAACTTGATCTGGAGGGATGAATCCGTATGTTGAACATACTCGAGGAATAGTTTCAGCTGCCACGCTCCAACACCACCAGGCTATGTATGAGAATTAGGTGATTTTGGGTTAAGTGTTTCACTGAACCTTGTAGTCTTTATTGAATAGAGTTATAATTGGCTGTTTGGCAAGGTATGTAATTCTTTACATACTGGTGAGTTTTCACAATAATCATCCATCTCAGTACTCTTCAAAGTTAATGTACAGATTTAAGAGGCCTTGGCTGAAGGGTTTTAGGCATCCACAAAACAGTTTGCATATATACTCATTAAAGTTTTTAGATACAGTTGACCCTCATCCATAACATTAAAGTTTGTGTTGAGTCATGAGTAAATAAATTTTTGCAAATCATTGCTATAAAAACATCATTTTTGAATCAATTGTTTCAAACAATGAAAAAATTTACCCATTGTTTAAGTTTTGATGAAGACTGTTAAATCTTCATGGGTGGTGGGGCAGCCTAGTTATTAAAGCGGGGCGGTGGGGTAGCCTAGTGGTTAAAGCGTTGGCTCGTCACGCCGAAGACCCGGGTTCGAATCCCCACATGGGTACAATGTGTGAAGCCCATTTCTGGTGTCCCCCGCCGTGATGTTGCTGGAATATTGCTAAAAGCGGCGTAAAACCAAACTCAGTCAGTCAGTCAGTAGTGATTAAAGCATTCACTTGTCATTCTGAAGGCCTTGGTTTGATTCCACACATGGTTACAATGTGTGAAGTATTATTCACTACCAAATACTATTTTCACCTGACCAAATAATTTCAAGAATCATTTTGAAAGTATTTCACCTCTTAGTTACCATTTAATTTGACCTTTACCCAAAGGGTTTAGTAAAAACCTTCATCAAAATAATAATAAATAAAGTCAGTCAGTCAGTCAAAATCATATGGATTTAAATTTTGTATTTATATTTAATATTTTATATATCTTTAACATCAAATGTTATTTCTGGGACTCTCTATTATTCTGCCCCATCGTCTATTGTCTGCTGTGCTGTTGGGTCCCAGTCATCTAGACACTGGGTCAGTATCACAGCTTATCTCCCCTTGCCCTCCAGGGCCCTGGGATATAGGGTGTATACAACATCTGGGATAATTCTACTCCATCTCAGAATAGCACAGCATGCTCTTGACTCCTTTATGCTATTTGGGTGTTTCGAAACAAGTTTTTCAGAAACCAACAGTGGAAAGCCGAGACCATTTTGTTGCTGAAGAAGGAGTTGTAGTTGTAGTTGTAGTTGCTTTTATGAGGGTTTATAAAAGGGGAGACTATACCTGTGCTCCTGGGTTACAACAAAGCCAGGCACCAGGCTTACCTCCTACATCAAGCTGACACACTGTGATTTGACTGCAATACTGTTGGAGACACTATACCTGTAGTCCTGGGTGCTGAGGGCTAGGCAGGTGTCAACGCATACATGTGTCGCACTAGTGCAGAACTAAGATAACAATACATTTCGTCCCAAACTTCTTGAGCTTCTTGAACAATAAACAAATACATGACAGTAATGAGCGGAGTTTCAGCTCAACCTCAGGGCAGGGGGGTAGCCTAGTGGTTAAAGTGCTCACTCATCACACCGAAGACCCAGTTTCATTCCCCACATGGGTACAATGTGTGAAGCCCGTTTCTGGTGTCCCCCACCATGATATTGCTAAAAGTGGCATAAAACTAAACTCACTCACTCACTCGCTTACTCGACCACAGAGGCAGTTTGTCAGTGTGGGTGCAGTTAGTTCTTGGTGTTACGTTAATGGGGAACAAAACCCGTAGACATGCCAATGTCCACCACTGAATTAATTGTGTCTCATTCAACCCCAACACAGTGGACCACTGCTCATAGTATCAGTCACAGGTTTGTCTGGTTCAGAAGGGCGGTGGGGTAGCTTAGTGGTTAAAGCGTTGGCTCATCACGCCGAAGACCGGGGTTCGAATCCCCACATTGTACCCATGTGGGGACTGAACCCGGGTCTTCGGTGTGACGAGCCAACGCTTTGACCACTAGGCTACCCCACCGCCCCCACAATGTCAGAACATGCATAAAAGGCAGTTGCAGTGATCTGGTCCAGCAGGAATACTTTACATGAGAAATGACCCAGTGATCATATTGCTAAAAGCGGCTAAAACCAAACTCAGTCAGTCAGTCAGTCTGGTTCAGAATCAGTAAATTCCATTGTTTGGGCTGGAGTGTGACATTAAGCAACAAACAAGATGGAGGTTTGTGGAACAGGACCATGAATCTTTGTGCATAATGATATAGAAGTAGAGATGGTCTGAAGTGAGCAGTATCCTGTGCATATCAAGGCAGAAGGTGGATTTTGACCACAGTGTGATTTTCTAAGTGTGAAGTGCAGAGTAGTGTGACTCGGACATCATGTGTGTATGCATCTCTTGGTCACAGAAATGGATTGGTTCTCTAATTGGACAAGAGTGTCTTTGACAAGAAGCATAGCATCTGTAGTACTCCAGATATGTGGATGCACTCAAGACCTTGTCAGATGTAAGTACTCACAATTTGGAACTGTTCTGATGTACAAGAGTTTTCTTTACCATGTACTGAGGACCATTGTGCAGTGGTAGCATTGGTATATGACAGTGACACATAGAGAAGGTATTTGCTCACTAGAACTGTTGGTAATTGCTTTGAACAAGGATGCTCTATATACACAAAGGCTTTTGATGACTGACTGACTGACTGAGTTTGGTTTTACGCCGCTTTTAGCAATATTCCAGCAATATCACGGTGGGAAACACCAGAAATGGGCTTCACTCATTGTACCCATGTGGGGATTCGACCCGGGTCTTCGGTGTGACGAGACAACGCTTTGACCACTAGGCTACCCCACCGGCCCCACAATGTCAGAACATGCATAAAAGGCAGTTGCAGTGATCTGGTCCAGCAGGAATACTTTACATGAGAAATGACCCAGTGATCATATTGCTAAAAGCGGCTAAAACCAAACTCAGTCAGTCAGTCAGTCTGGTTCAGAATCAGTAAATTCCATTGTTTGGGCTGGAGTGTGACATTAAGCAACAAACAAGATGGAGGTTTGTGGAACAGGACCATGAATCTTTGTGCATAATGATATAGAAGTAGAGATGGTCTGAAGTGAGCAGTATCCTGTGCATATCAAGGCAGAAGGTGGATTTTGACCACAGTGTGATTTTCTAAGTGTGAAGTGCAGAGTAGTGTGACTCGGACATCATGTGTGTATGCATCTCTTGG